AAGAAGAAAACACGATCACCTTATATACACTATATAGCAAAACTGATTATATGATGACTTTTTTTTTAATATTTGCAAGGTATGTATTTAAGTTACATTTGTTTGTTACTTCTTTTATAAAAATATAGTGCGTGCTTTAACCAAAACCATCAAAATAAAATTTTAAATTTTTATACCGAGCTTAGAATGTTAAGAAAATTTTCATCAAATCTTTAATTTTTTGGGTCTGATTTTTTTTGGTAACGGTTTTTGCGAGTTTTTTCTTACAAGGAGTGCAATTTTAAAAATAAATCGTCGAGTTTTTTAAATTTCCTTTGGAAATGGTTTTTCCCATTTTATTCCATAAGATATTAATGCTTATTTTGAAATGAATGAGTGCAAAAAGCCTTAAAATTTGGTCAAAATTATATTCATACAACTAAAGATTACTACGAAATCGGCCTTTCACGGATGTCGTTTTGCTTTATTTTAATATGCGCGAAGTTGAATTGAATATTAACCACTATACATCACTTTCGTTGACGTTTACAGTGAGTTTTTTTTTTAGTTTGTAATAAAAAATAAATAAAAAATAAATAAAAAAAGTAAAAAATAAGAAATTATTTATTTTTTCTAATAGATATTTTATGTCCAAAAGTAGTTAGCTACAAGTTAGTTGACATCTAATGCAGAGGAAACCAGTTCTCACTATTTTGCGGCCATCGCCCTTCAGAAGAGTTAGTTACGGCCAAAGGAAATAGTTAATAAATAGTTATCACTAGTCGACTGCTAGTTAGTTAATAGTTGGCTACAAACTAGTCCCATTTCCTGCAGGGTAGCTTACAGCGCATAGCTGCTAAGTGCAAAAAACTTATTATAACCATTTCCTACAAGAATTTCGCAAATCTTGGAATACTACATTTTGCGTGTTTAAAGCAAAGCTAAACTCCATACGAATTAGAGGAATTCGACCGTTATTAAAGGACTTCGTATTATTATGTTTTTTTTTTCAGATTTTCGTTGCCTCTTATGAACTTAGCAAATTTGCCTTTCATCGAATATAAACGAGAAAAAAATGAAACAATAACCTTAATCGAAACGATGCATTTTTAATATCCCCCGCTTTCCATATCAAAATATGAGTATTCATAAAATGTGGACTAAGCAATTTTTCACTCTCAGCTAGCGATATGTACTTATGTATGTGGCACATAAACGAATTTTAGTTTTCGTGTGACACATGTAATTAATGAATGAAAATATATTAAAACTTTACTTCCAAGATACGTACATAGATCCTACCCAAATGGCGCTTTGCTCAAAGTCTCATGAGCATTTTCTTTCAAATGCAACGATATATTCGTACATGCATACATATGTATGTACATATGTAGAGTAAAATATGTATTAAATGTTTTCGGTATTTGTTGTTTCATTGCTACGGGCTAAACTTTAGCATGTGTAACTCTAAATTTTGCAATTTTCACGGTATTTGTTTCAATATGCCTTGCATGAGTATGTTACATACTGCGCTGTCGCGACCCTGCAGGAAATGGGACTAGTTTGTAGCTAACTATTAACTAAGTAGCAGTCGACTAGTGGTAAGGTTTATTAACTTTTTCCTTTGGCCGTAACTAACTCATTTGAAGGGCGATGGCCGGAATAATAGTGGGAACTGGTTACCTCTGAATTAGATGTCAACTAACTTGAGGCTAATTACTTTTGGACATAAAATATCAATAAGAAAAACAAAATATTTTCTTATTTTTTAATGTTTTGTTTATTTATTTATTTGTTATTTACTTTATTTTATTATATTTCATATTTGTTTACATAGTCTGCTGTAAGTGGTCCCATATTCGAACACCGTCAGGCATAACTTCAAAATGATAACATAAAATTTCGATCTTCCTTTTATTTATCCTACGAAAAAGGATCTGCGGAGTTCAGAAAAAAAGTGTATTGAAAGTAATTTTTATATAGGGATATTTTAATAGAAACTTGTAAAGAAAACAAACTCCCGATAACGTCTGCATGACTCCGGCACCACTTTACAACTAACTTAAAATTATATTCGGATGGCTGATTACGAATCAGAAATAAGATTGGAAAAGTTCAAAATGGTGGACCCAATATGGCGGAAAAAAAATAAAAATCGATTGGATTCGCTTAAAATTTTATAGTTTGGGGTTTTTAAGGTCGCTGATTATGAATCTGAAATCAAATTTAAAAAATTCAAAATTGTGGATCCATGTTGGATCTACCATTTATATTCGGAGAAGGTAAATTCGAAAGTAAGTACATGGCGTATGAGTAACATTTTCATCTCGTCTAGGTAACTCATACGCCATGTACATACGTTCGATTTTGACTTTTCCATGATAAATGGAAATTCAGTATTACGTAAATGCTGCGACGCTTATATCAGTAAATACGTACATAAATTAGTCACCCAGTTTATGAAAACCGTTACCAGCTATTTTGAAAATCAATTGGCATCACTTGGAAACTTATTGTTCGGGTGTTTTTGGGTCGCTGATCACGAATCTAGCATCAGATTTTCGATATTCAAAATGGGCGGGTACAATATGGCGGACGATATTTTGAAAAATCAAGCCTCAGAAGCCCGGTTATTATCTGTCTCCACCACGTTTTGTTTGACATGGAACGTTCCATATTCATAACTTATAAACAAATACAAAAGACATTTTTAGTTACTGTACTTATTTGTAATGTTTTTGGCTACAGTTTGCTCTGAAAATCACCAGCACAGACAATTACAAATTCACGGTGGTCAAAACTGTACGAATGGTGATTTTTTTAAGCATTCACAATGTTTATCAAATTAGCGTGTCTGGGATAGTTTTTCATAAAAATATTTTCATATTATAACCATAACCATATTAGTTAAACTTTTAAACTTAATAGCAAACTTGAGGAAAATCCAAATTTTTTTTTTCGAAAGTTCACACTTTTTCTTGAATCAATAAAAAATTTTCGTGTATGCAGCTCATGAATCGGCATGATTTTTAACCGACTTCACAAAAAGGAGAAGGTTATAAATTCGTCGAAATATATATAATTTTTTTTTTATGTGTGTTACCGCATAACTTTGGGCCACGTTTACCGATTTCTATAATTCGTTTTAAAGGAAAGGTGTTACCTCACAGGTGGTCCCGTCCCATTCTAGCTTGGTGTAAATCTGATCATTGGATCATGAAGAAATCAACAATAATCTTAAATTTGTATATTAGAATGGAAGTCGGGTTTGTTTTTTGCTTATAAATTACTTGCAAATATTTTTGCTATTTTTTACATATAGTACATAACCATGAATTCCTTGTGGCGGAAAATACCGTTTTTAGCGAGTATAGTTGTGGTTATAGCATGATCAATATTTTTATAAAAAATTAATAGAAACATTTTGACTTTAAAAATATTTTAAATATTCTTACCATTCACTTTGTTTTTTCTTTAATATAATTATTTTTATTTATTTACTTAAGTCTTACAGGCTATTGGATCCTCAAAACCAGAACATTATATAATTATGCACAGATATGAAAGAACATTTCATTGAGGAAATTTTGTTGACAATATTGGCTGTCATATCAAGGGTGCATGATACTGATGACTCAATAAGTTATTGTTTAAACAAATTGCTATACCACTTGTGTGTGACGTGGCTCCATCGGTATATTTGCTTGAAGACAGTTTGTGCTACGGAATCAGTCCACCCTTTGTTTGAAGCACAAGCAACTTTAGTTCGACTTAGGTTGGCTTAGAATACCCATATTTTTCCTTTATTATCAAGCTTTATCTATATCTTTAAAAATATTTCCGAAGGTAAACTTTTTTAAAAAACCTCTTTAGATTCATGCCTATATTGGGGTTGCCACCCTGATTAAAAAGTTTTCGGCAGTAAAATTTCATAAAGCACTTTAGGTTGATACCCGTTATGGAATATTTAATTTATCTTATCAATTAAATTTGATTAAAATTTGCAAAAAGCTGGAAACCTTCCATAAATTCTTTTTTCTTTCTCTTGAGAGCCACGTTGTAATATTTACGTTGTCTTATTAATTTACTTAAACTGATAATTTCAAACAGGTGGCAACTCTCAATTTTTTTTTTATATTTTAAGTTATACCTCTAGCAATACATCGGTGCAAATGTAAAAACTGCATTCAATTCCAAGCCTGTCATTGTAAAAAAAAAATTCCTGCATCACTGCATTTTAAACCGATGTATGGCGCAGACATCCTGTAAGTTTGAAAACGGATGTAATTAATTTAACTAATATTATATCCACGCAACATATGCCATTTCTTCTCCCTTGTCAAATTGTTTTTTAATACATAGTACTACATACTTCGCTTCTCCAGGCTTTCCGTTTCAATCGCTAAATAAATGCATGTTAATAAAACGTGAGGAAATAATGCGACAAAACACGTTACAAGTATAATCACTGAACAACGACACACTTCACGTGCAACGTCACACACATACATGTGCGAAAGTGACAGTGACTGCGTTGATGATACTGACGATAATGATTGCGTCAATGTAGGGGCGTATGCGCAATTCATTTGTGAATGCGAAGGCAGCAAGGCAGATATCTGTGCAGTGAGTGGCTTTGTCATCGACAACGAGTCGTCGTCGTCGTCGTCGTCGTCGTAGTAGTCGTCAGTGTCCTCACCGTTGTTGTTGCGGTTAGTATAGCTGTCATTAATTTGTCAAAGACGACTTTTGTTCTTCCCCAGACGAGCAGCGCAAACCGATGCAGATCTGGATGCAAACTGTGCGTGGCTTAGTTTGTGACATTTGACAAATTTTTTTAATTAGAGCTGCTAAAGTGGAGAAAATATGCTTAGCAGAAATGCTTGGTTTCAAATGAGAAAATGAAATCGTAGAAGATTTCGAATGGAAACGTTTTTTTTTCTCAATTTGGGATGACCCGATAACTGCTTCAGATTGAAATTGAAAGGAAAATAGTTAAACGTTGAATCATTTATATTTACCTTTTTATATTATTCTCGCCATATGTAAAAATCTGCAAAAAAGAAAAAAATCGCTTATTAGAAAATACATTTAACAACAAATTTAATAGGGTCAGCGAACAATTTTCGTTGGCTTGAAGAATGCGTGCACTGTGTAGTAAGAGTGTTAAATATTATTAGAGTGACAGGTCGTATACGTAACCTAAAGTATCTGCGGCTAGTTAAAAAAATATTTTGCGACTTTGCAGTTATTAATTTGGTTACTTAGTTTACTAATTGCCAGCAAGTATTCAAGAAACACTCATAAACTTGCATATATACAAATGTTAGCAAATGAACAACCAACCACTTCAGTATAATAACAATTGAAAAATCTTAAAATATTTGATGCAAGAAAAATCAATAGCTCATATTTGTTTAAATCTTCAATACAACACACATACATAAATATTCGCATAAAAATAACCATATACGGAGCACTGTAGAGGCAGTTTGTTGTTTGCCCTCTTCATGTCAGAATACAGTAAATAGTATTAAGTTTCATTATTGTTTGCAATTAAAAATATGCGATCATAGCGTGAAAGTGTAATGCGAGAATAAAAATTAATACTATTAAAATAAAACATATTACTATATGAAATTCATACATAAATATTTATGCAGGCATGTGCATTAGTGTGAGCCTTCTTTGTATAGAAAAAATATAAATTTTTTAACCTAGATAAAAAACCATTCCCTGGCCGTAAAAACAAGTGCTCCGCACCACAGAAGCCCGAAAGTCGACCAAATTTATTAAAATTTACACCAAAGTATATAATTGGGCTTAAATCAGTAAAAAAAAAATCATTTCTTTCAATCTTAAACACAACATTTCTTATCTCCTAAAGTCTTGAAATTATAGAAGTTTTTTCTGTAAAATTTCAGGTGTCTAGATTTTGAGAAGCTTAATTTTAAAATTTAGGGACTTATAAAAGTTTTTACTATCTTACTGCCATACTTAAACAAGGCCGTTAAGCGGAGCGGTTTCCGACGCCTAGCGTTAGCGCCGAAGTGCCATACTTAAACAAAAGTGTCAACGCTTCGTCAAATGCAGAAATAACACCATAACACCAACAATAAGCATAGGTTTGTTGGTATGTAACACGAAAATGACAGTTTCTGCAGCCAACTTCAACACTAACGCCCTGTCAAAATCGGATTTTCCAACCGCTCAGCGTTGACGCCGCGTATGCTTCATACAAATTGTATGGGCAAGAGAATTTTTTGACAGCCAGCCTACGCTGACGCTTTTGTTTAGGTATGGCAGTTACTCAGAATTGCCCTGTAAAGAGCTTAACCTATGGGTGTGCAACGAGATTAAATTTTTTTAAGCCAGAACTTCTNCATAAAAAACTCGAGACTTACACTCAAATCTTTTGCAAACACTCAATAAAGCTATAGGAGAGACTCCCGTAAATAGTCTACGTGAAAGTTATTTAGCGAGACTTTTTCGCCTTGCACAAAATCCATTGGAACTAAATCGAAGAAAACTTCACGACAACTTTACGCTCTATTTGGCAAGTTAAATAGAGATATTTTTTCTACGGAGACGTATGGTAAAATCTCGCAGTTTATTAAGCTTTACAATTAAATGAATTTTAAGAGTCAATATCTGATTTGTGGCAGGTTAAAAGTCATATATATAGTAGTGGTATAGTGGTGGGCATGAGTTTTTAATCGAAATTACGTATTTTGAATGCCACAAACAAAACCTATGCGACCAAATTGCCGCATTGCCTGAGATGAGTTCGCAAAAAGTTTCTACAAAAATCTACAAACTTCGCTGCCAATATNTGGTAAATAAGTACAATTTGAAAATTTTGTTTTCATCCCTAGTACGAAAAAGTGTTTTTTTTAAGTCAGCGAATGTTATCGGTCCACAGATGGTCAACTAACTCTAAGGGAGTTTTTGAGATTTCTCTATTTTTTCTCTATATAGAGTGAGTATAGCCTACAGTTGCTTTTCGCTGCAAACTTATTCGAGAGAACAGATTTTTATTTCAGTAGAACCCTACAAAGATTTATCTTCCGTGTACACTGAGCTTAATAAAGAGCAAAATTAGAACGTATTGGAACGTATTGTCGTCTTCTTCCTGTCCCAACAGCTCGGCCTTTTTCACCGGATAAAAGTGGATATCAGCACGGGCGTTGTCCCATGTTAGATAAATACTTTTTCAATGCCTGATTGTACGGGAAGCAACCTGTTTATTGAAAATAAAACCCGCGTCAAAAAACCTCTAAAGCATAGCGGAAACGCTGATCGGTTTTTTTTGCAATCGGTGACGTTGCTGCAGAAATAACACAACTGGCATAAATCTTTAATTTACAATTTTTCTTTATTGCTAAAAGTCTCCTCTTGTGGAAAACCAAAACAAAAAAAAACTACAATATTTTGGTAACCGAAACAAGAGACTTGTACCTCATGAATTAGTAGTTGGTGACAAAGTTAGTGATACTAAAGTAATTTTTCTAAGTTTGTTATTTATTTATATAACTATTTGTTTTTACGTGTTTTTTTATTATATGAAGAAGCTTTGATAGTTCACTCAAAGTGTTTAGAAAATATCGCTCTCTCTTACTCGAAAAACTGGTAGAGTGCATACTAATAAAGATTTTATCAATTACTTGCTATTATCGTCCTCAGATCCATTATTTCATCTCGAAAAAATTTAAAACAAAGAAACATCTAGGAGTTCCGATTCAAATATTAAGCAATGCGTTGTTGGACAGGATTCAAGTCCAGAAACTGATACAGAATACACAACGAATATTCAATAAATTTACATTTTAATTTAATTTTCTTAGTTTTATGAAATTTTCATCATTTTTTGTAGACTGTTTTAACCATATTTTGTAATACAATTGAACATGTCAGTTATAATTATGCCTTACTTAACACTGAGAAAAAAAAACAACCAAAAATTAGGTAATGTTACCAAATTCATACTTGAAAAGGAATCAACGTGATTTTTGGTTAATATTAACAATGCCTTGGTTCATATTTTCAACAATGATTTGGTAATAACTTGGCGATTTTCCGTTTGAATACGTTTATGTTCTGCACTTCACAGATGCTTTTTCATAATTCGGAGATACAAAACAAAATTTTTTGTTATCATTCTAACATGTTGCCACTGGCGGTATTGGCAAATAACAGCAATCATCTCCACACATTCAGCTACAGCTGCTTAATAAATGTGTCTTTAAATGTTCAGCTTGAATCAGTTTTCTTCGTCGTTTGGTTTGGTTCTGCACTTCACAGAGGCTTTTCCGTAATTAAGAAAATCCAAAAACAGAAAATAATAAAATGCGCTCACGGCTTTCGTACTGATGGAAGCCAACAAATAACAGCAAGCACCTCTGCTCGTTCAGCCACTGCCATAGACACGAATTTGTTCTCAAATGTTCAACTTGAATCATATTTCTTACAATCGGCTTATTGACCATGAAAAAATCAAACCATAACTTGGTTGAAGAAGCCACTGTGCTTTTGGCTCAGTGTACCTCCACAGCTAACGGCAATAAAAAAAACGGGTTTTTAATAATTGGTAATCGTTACAAAAGACCGGTTCCGTTTTTAAACAAACCATGATGTACTCCATATAGTAAATAGTTGCTGTTCTTCTTCGTGCGAGATAACGCGCGATTTTTTTTTGTTGGTTAGATTTCAATAGCGCTATGACGATTTTTGTCTGTTTTATGATTAAAACTCTGAAGTACATGTTGTTGAGGAATTTTATAATCGCTTGGTACTCAATGTGCTAGAGATAGTCACCGATATGGAAGGGCACACACTAATGTCCATAAATTTCTACTGTGTATCATACAAATACATTTCACAACATACGTACTCTTCTTTGCATTGATCGCATACGAAATATGAATATCAACTCATAAATAATGAAAAGTGCAAATGAAACCAAAGAGTAATAAAAAAAAATTAATGTTAACGGCGATTTAAATATGTCATCGGATACGAAATTCGCTGTAAGGACATTAAGTTATCGATTGTATATGTGTGGACTGGAGCAAACGCCGATTGGTAGGGATATATGTGTACATACTAACATTTTATTTTCAAACGGTTTTACATGAATACTTTCATACAAATATCAATGACCGGCACATAATTCAGTAAAGCCATCTTTTATTTAAAATATAAGTCATTTAAAGGCAAAAACCGGAAACAAATTTTAATGTCATACAAAACTCGGGAAAATTCAAGAAATGTAAAATTTTTTCAATTCGATTTCTTAGAGAAATATTGTTTTGTAGCCGCATTTTCTTCCATATAATATAACGCATGAACACAACTTTTTTTTTTCTATATAAAAGGAGGTACCCAACACCCTCAGCAAAAAAAAGTCTCAAAAATCAACGATAATTTTAGCGCCTTGAAGCTTGCTTTGTTGTATTTGGCTGAGCTCCTCTACCAATTGATGAACACGCCTACCCTTAGAGAAAACACTGATATACATAGGATACATAGGTAAGGACTTCAAATCTTTACCTAAGGTGGTTGTAGATAGAACGGCAGTTATGTAAAAAAAAAAAACCAACAAACAATTGAATTTGTATTGTGCTAGCACTGTCTAAAACTGTCTAAAACTGGGATAATAAGTTTTTATGAGAAGTTTTGATTATTGAATTTTTGATATTTTTTCGTTTCTTAATTTACTCTTTTATTTTATTCATATTAAATTTGACCATTTTCTTTTAAATTTTGAAGCCGCACGCAACAATTAAAATTTATTAACTCAGAAAATCACAATTGCCTCCACCGCGATTTGAACTCGCTACCAACGATGTTAGAGTGAGACGTCTTACCGCGGAGCTTATTTCAGTGATAGTTTTGAAATTTGTAGAGCGGAACTAGTGCCTTGCCAGATAGACTCTAAATTTTTCTACAGGGATATTACATATGAACATAATTGAAATCTGTATATCTATGTACAAGTATGTATGTATGAGTGTTCGATATATTAAAAGGAAGCATACAGTTTTTATTAATAGCC